CTAGATAGAATTTTTACATGTCTATCTCTTCCAGAAGCCTGCGAGTTTCCAGAGGACAAGTTTAAGTGCCATCTTTGCATCCACAATGTCTTGTTTCTGCAATATAGTAGGGATTGATATATGTGTATTCAATTAAAAGAAATAAATGAATGAGCTCTTAAGAACTAACTATACAATACTATAAAGAATACATGCTATGGACTGTTGGTGGCATTTAAAAATTTGAACATATATTAATTCAAACAGATGTTTATATTGCCTAACTATGAGATTTTTAAAAAGAAAATTACAAGCTGTAAAAGAGTTTTATAGAATTTTTTTTAACTTCCTCTCATTTGTATGTTCTTCTGGTTCTCTTCCTGCGATTATTTTTTCCTTTTGCTATAGTTTAAGTTTTATAGCTCCTCTCATTCAATATTCCTTTCTCTTTTCCTTTTTCAAATAATCAAAAGATTTTATTGCATCCCAAGATTTAAACAACAAGCTCTAAAAGTAAAGTGAAAAATACCGACTTGTCATTGCTATGGTAAGCTTTTAAATTGAGCTTTGGAACAAAGTGCATTCACACAGAGAGATATGCATATGCTATATTCTAGACCTCAAGCTGTGCAGAGGAAAATCTCTGCTCTGCTTTTCCAGAGGCTTTGGGAAAGAGGTTGCGGGGAAAGATGTGGGATTTAGAAGAAACAGTAGAGGTAAATGATTACAGGCCTAAGTCAGGACACCTGGAATCTAGACTTCATTTCTAACCTACCGTAAATTATTCAAATGTGAAGTGAGGAGATCATACCAGGTGATTTTTAAGATCCCTTATCCCAGGTTTCTGAACAGCAGTACTGTTGACATTTTGGACTGGCTGATTTGTGTTATGGACTGGGGGTTCTGTCCTATGCATTGCAGGTTATTGAACAGCATCCCTACCACATGCCTGCTAGATACCAGGAGCACCCCCCACACACCCCAATATGACAACCGAAACACATCTCTAGACATTGCCAAGTGTCCCCAGAAGGGCAAAATTCCTGCTCGTTGAGAACCACTATTTGATATCTTAATTCCATGACAAATG